GGATTCCCTCTCACCTGCCTGGATTCCCGCTCACCTGCCCAGATCCCGCTCACCTGCCTGGATCCCACTCACCTACCCAGATCCCTGCTCACCTGCCTGGATCCCTGCTCACCTGCCTGGATTCCCTCTCACCTGCCTGGATTCCCGCTCACCTGCCCAGCTTCTCCAGCAGCTCATACAGGTCCTCCACGTTGCCCGGGCTCGGGGTGGCCTCCAGCCCCTCGCTCTCTGCAGCCCCCTCGGGCTCGGCCTCATCCTGTAGGGTGGCACCAGGACCCGGCTCAGCACCTGCCCAGGCTGTGGTGACGTGCCAGAGCTGGGGGTGCAGGGACCCCCATCCCACAGAGCACCCCAACCCCCCAGTACACACTGGGGGATTCTCCAGTATCCAGCAGCTGAGCCCTGGCCCTGCCCAGTTCTCCCAGTTCCCACTAAACTCCCCAGCATGTGGAAACTTGGAGACTTTCACCCCTTGACCAGGGGCCTGCAGGAGCTGCTCAGGGGGGCTTGGAAATGGGGCGGGGGTGGGAAGGGAGGGGGTTCACAGCAGCCCCCTTGCCCCCTACTGTGCTGGGGGTGCAAAACGCAGAGAAAAACCAACACTGCGGTTTGGTTTCTTAAAAAAAGGGGAATTAACAGCAGGTGGAACCAGCACTGTGAGCTCAGCTGTGAGAGTCCCACCCAGCCACCCCCCCAGCCCCCCAGCAGGGCCCCCCCATGTACCCATGGCCGTGGCTCACCTGGGTGCTGTCAGGGGCGTCCCCCGGACCCCCCTCGGGCAGGACCCCGTCCTGGCCGCCCTCGGCCATCGCTGCCAAGACAAGAAAGCACAGGGTGAGGGGTTGCAGTGGGTCTGAGCAGCAGGTTCTGGTCGTGGGGGGGCTGCAGGGGTGAGAAGCTGCCAGAATCCTCCCCCGTGTCTGAGAGAGTCGCTGCCAACGGCTCTGGGACAGACCTGGACCGGCCAAGGCCGAGCCCAGCGGTGACAGCGGCAGCACCTCGGGATAAAAGAGTCAAGGGAGGGCAAAAAGTGATTGTGTGAGAGAAACAGCCCTGCAGAGACCAAGGTCAGTGAGGAAGGAGGGGCAGGAGCTGCTCCAGGTGCGGGAGAAGAGATTCCCTGGCAGTCCCTGGGGGTCCCTCGGGGAGCAGAGACCTGGAGGACCCCACGCTGGAGCAGGGGATGCCTGAAGGGGACTGTGACCCTGTGGGAAGCTGAGCTGGAGCAGGGTCCTGGCAGGACCTGTGATATCGTGGAAAGGGACCCAGGCTGGAGCAGTCCCTAAGGAACTGTGACCCGTGAAAAGGGATCCACACTGGAGCAGTTCCTGAGGAGCTGCAGCCCGTGGGAAGGACTCACACTGGAGCAGGGGAAGGACTGACTCCTCTCCCTGAGCAGCAGCAGAAACAACCTGTGCTGAACTGACTGGGATCCCCATTCCCATCTCCCTGCACCTCTGGAAGGAGGAGGTGGAGCCCAGGAAGGAGGGAGGGGTGGGGAAAGGTGTTTTTAACTTTATTTTACTTCTCATCACCCTGGTCTTAGGTGATTGATAATAAATTCAATTAATTTCCCCAAGTCAGGTCAGTTTTGCCCATGGCATTATTGGGTCAGTGACCCCTCCCTGCCCTAATCTCAGCTCAGAAGCCTTTTGTTACATTCCCCCTGCCCTGTCTGGGTGAGGAGGGCAGTGATGGAGCAGCTTTGGAGGCACCTGGAATCCAGGCAGGCTCAGCCCACCACAGTGGGGAGAGGGGTTTTGGGGGGGACAGACACCTGCCTGAACCTGGCACCGTCCCCCTCTGAGGTGGGGGACATCTCTCATCCCCAGCAGCTCCAAGCCACAAACCAGCCTCTCTGGGCTCACACAGAGCAGGCCAACACCAGGACCCAACCCTCCCATGCCCCAGTTTCCCCAGCTGCAGGAGGGGGTGGGTGATGCTCCAGCAGTGGGGGCAGTGGGACCATCAGGGATGCAGAGAATGGGCAGTGGGGCTCCAAGCCCTGGTCTTGGGGCCACCTCGTTGTCCCCAGCACTGTGTCCCCGGGAGCAGGAGGTTTCCTGGGCCAACAGGGTCCAAGGTCACCGGGAAAGGGATTAGGACAGTAATATTGGCCAGAGGTGGGGTCCTTCCCCAGGAAAAACAGGGGAGATCCCGGATGGATTTGAGCCCCACAGGGACAGCCCCTGGGGGGACTGGTTGGATGCAGCCTGGTAATGCATCCCCGGCCCCACAGGGCTCTGCTTGCACCAAACAGGGGCTGGGACCCCTCCTGTCCCCCCACAGTGGCCCCAAGGGACAGTGAGTGTCTCCAAGCCTGGTCCCCCCTCGCTCTGTCCCGCTCCCACCCCGGCTGTGCCCCCTTACCCTCCCCGAGCCTTCCTCCGCGCCCAGCAGCGCTTCTCCCTCGCTCCGGCCAGGACAGGGGACAGCCACTGCTCACAGTGACCGTCCTGTGGCCCCCCCGGGCTGGTGGGGGCCCCCTGGGGTTGGTGGGGGCACCCGAGCAGGGACTGCTTGGCCCTGGCACCGCACAGAGCCGGCTGGTCCCAGGGCTGGTACGTGCACGGGGGCGGCTGCAGCTGAAGCTGGGCCAACGTCCCTGGCACGTGACGTGTCCGTGGGGTGACAGTGTGTCTGTTTGTCCCCTGGGATGGACACAAGCGGCCAATCCCCCCATCCCCTGCTGGAGAGCCCACTCTCACCGTGCTGCAGAGCTGCTTTGGCAGGGAGGGAAACTGAGGCCCAGGTGGCCCCAGGCCACGGTGGCCACAGCTGAGCTCTGGGCTGCAGAGCTGGACCTGCAGGGGCTGTCCTGTCCCACCACATCCTGGTGCTGCCCACCGGGAAAACCAGCCTGGCCTCGGCACCAGCTGCTGGAAAACGTGCTCCCAGGTCAGCATCCAACTACCAAAAAGCCCCTGCAGGACCCCAAAACCCCCCAACCGACCGGGATGGCCCCCAAACCCGGCAAGCCATGGGGAGCTGGGACCCCTCACCTCCAGCTCTGACCTTCCTCCAGCAGCCCCCCACAGCTCCAGGCTCTGCCTCGCAGTCCTGGCGTTCCTGGGGTGCTGGGGCAGGATCTGGCCACGATGGCTCGGGATGAGAAAAGATCTTTGAGTTCCTCCTCCTGAGGGCTCTGGAGGAACCCCCCCAGCTGTGGAGAGGAGCCAAAAAAGGCCTTTTAGGGACAATTCCTGGTGGTTCCAGCACCTCAGCTCCTTGAGGAGTGGCTGGGACTCGGTGGGACAAGGTGCTGGAGGACGATGTCCCCCTCACCGATGTCCCCTCACCGATGTCCCCTCACTGATGTCCCCCCCTTCCGACGTGCCGGTGAGGGTTCCAAACAGGAAACCTGGCCGACAGGACACCAACCCTGCGGAGGGGAAGTGAGTGGAGGGTGTGAAGGCTGTGGGGAGGGACAGGTTTCTTAAGGTGGAGAGAGCCGGCTCTGCGTGCCGGGGTCTGCCGGGGGCACTGGGCACCATCCCCACCCCGGGGCTTGCAGAGCCACCCAACCCTGTCCTGGTGCGATGGATGAGTTGGCCCCCGCCCTAATCCCTTTCCTAATCCCTAATCCCCGCAACCCCCTGGGACGCAGCCGGGTTGGCACCGCTGTCGCCGTGGGGCGGCTGGAGCCTGGCACCGCCCGGGGCGAGGGTGGCAGCTGGCACCGGGCAGAGCAGCAGCGCAGGCAGCTCGGCCGCTGTTTGCTGTGCCGATGCCCCCGGCGCTTCCCAGGAATGTGCCTGGCTCTGGCAGCCGGAGCCTGAGGAAGGGGGATGGTGCTGGATTCCACCACGCCAGGACCGAATCCCGGCTCATGGCGTGACCGTGGGCACACCGAGCCCCGCTGCCCCCTCGCCCGGCGAGGTCCCAGGATGAGGATGGGAGGGACAGGAGCCCTTTGTAGGTGTGGATGTGCCGGTGGGAGGGTGGCCGGAGCCCCCTCCTCGCCGCAGCCCAGTCTGTCCCATGGGTGCCGGTGTCAGCTCGATGTCAGCCACCCCAGTGCCACCCTGCCACCTTCCCGTGACGTCTCCCCACCACGAGAAGGCTCTTTGCAGCTTCGGTTGCCGCTTCCTGCCCCGTCGCAGGAGGGGAAGGCGCGAGCACAGGCAGGGCAGGGGCTCTGCCCACCCTGCCCGTCCCCTGCCCGTCCCCCTGCCCACCCCACCGCCTCCAGCCACGGACACCCGGCCCACCGAGGCCGGACAGAGGTAGGAGCGTGGGCTGGGGGTCGGGGCCGGGGTTGGATTCGTACCGAGGCCGAGCAGCGAACCCCGAGCAGGGGGACACGGGCCGGGCCGGCGTCAGGCGGTGCAGGGACACTCCCCCCGCCCCAGGGCACGATGGAGGACGGGCACGACAAAGGGGTGCAAAGGGAGGGAGTGGTACCCCCTGCCCACCCCAGCCCTACCAGCCAGATCTTAACCCCTCTGAAGGGGGAAGTCCAGCCCAGGAAGGTCTCTCGGGGCAAAGCCTTCAGCCCATTTCAGGTCCGATCTGAGCCGTTCCCACCTCAGGAGCGCAGGGTTTCGGAGGCACAGCCCGCCCCGAGGAGCAGAGCCCCCCGAGTTGCCCCAAGGTGCCGGGGGTGGGGGAGGAGGGATGAGCCCCCACCTCCGCGCTGGCCCCTCCCCGGGCTGGGGGACGCACAGGAGCCGGGGACAGTGGCGTTGTTGTCCCCCCCAGCTGCCCGGCCATGCCCAGGCACGACTTGACTCGAATTTGCCTCCCCAGTGCTCCTCGAGTTGAGTTGCTGCAGTTTGGGCTGGTTTGTTTCGCTTTGTCAGCACCTTCCCCACCTTCCCCTGCCCGCGGGGGTGCGGGGCCGGGCTCGGTGCTGCCGCGGGTTAAAGGTGGAGCCGGGGTGCCTTTCCCGCGGCTGGTGCCCCTGCTCTCAGACAAGCCTCTACCAGCTCCTCTGACTCAGCTTTGCCTCCCGGATCCAACCAGCCCCAGCATCTTCCCCTCCCTCAAGCATCTGCTGGGGATTCACGTTGCTTTGCCAGGTGTTGGTGGCTTGGGGTGGAGCTCGGGGTCCCTCGGGAGCTGCTCATCCTCTCCCTCCCCTTCCTGGCACTGACCCGAAACCTTTGGGGACTTTGTGGGGACTGGAGGATTCACATACTTTCCACTCACCTCCTCCCCACCCAGCTCACCCATCCCCAGGGCTTTTCTCCTCTGGGGTCACTGTCCCTCCCTGCCACGTGGATCCACACTGAGGGGTGTGGGCCCAGGGTGGTGTCCCTGGGGAGGAGGAGGGTGATGAGCCCGAGGTTGAGGGGCTCAAGATGAAGGTGATGCTTACCCAGGTTGTTGGTGAGAGCAGCACCTGTGGGGGAGGGTGTCATGGAGCCCTGCCACCCCCCAGTGCCCTACAGGCAGTGAGGGGGCACAGGACAGCTCAGGACCCCGGGACAGACTTCACTGCCCTGAACCTTTCTCCCTGTTCCCTGGGACAGGGGACTCCATGGATGACGACCGTCCCCTCTTCACCACCTTCAAACCCATCAGTGAGGACAACACAGCCAAGCCAGGAGCCAACACAACCCCCGTCCAGCCCCAGGGAGCAGAGCAGTCCCTGGGACACCACAACAGACATGGCAGGGTAGGACATGGGGACACGAGGGGTCCGTGCCCCCCTGGGCTGTCCCACCACTCCTGAGCTCACACACCTGCAGGGGCCGTGTCACCGTGGGCCTGCACGGAGCAGAACATCCCTGGGGCACGTCCTCACCCGAGCCCTGGTTGCTCTCCCCTTCCCTCCAGGTCCCACCAGGTTCCTTCTGGCCATCCCCACCAGGCTGGTCCCCCCCAGAGCTGGTGGCCCTGCGTGCCCGGACGAGGCTGTGGTTTGAGCAGACACAAGCCTGGAGGTTGAGGCCCGAGGGGGAGCTCCCAGTTTGGTTCCATGGCTTCCTCAGTCGGAGGTAAGCGGGGGGAGGCCGAGGCAGAGAACCAGGATGGCCCCTTCACCCCTTCAACATCCCCATCCCTGGGCTCCAAAACAGGGAGCTGGATCCATGGATCCCACGGAGGGGGTGAGGGTGAGCGGTTCCCGGCTCCTTCCCACAGGGAGGCAGAGCAGCTGCTGGAGGATCGGCCCCTGGGCTGCTTCCTGGTCCGCTTCAGCGAGAGCACCGTCGGCTTCGTCCTCTCCTACAGGTGAGGGATCCCGCCCCCGTCCGAGGGGCCGACGCGCTCGATCTCCTCCCTCCCCTGGTGCCAATCCCGTCCCCTCTCCCTCCAGGGGCAGGGATCGCTGCCGGCACTTCGTCCTGGACCAGCTGCCGGACGGGCGGTACGTGATCCTGGGGGAGCCGAGCGCCCACGCCGAGCTGGCCGAGCTGCTGCGGCACCACACCACGGCCCCCATCGTGCCGTACCAAGAGTTCCTCACGGCGCCCGTGCCCCGCACACGGGTGAGACCCCAGCCCCTCGTGAGCCCCTGTGGCCCTGGAGTCATTCCGCTGCCGCGGATGGGGTGATTTTCCCAAGCCAAGGGAAATCCAAGCATCATGACAGCCACGGTTGGAACCGGAGCCACCCTGGCCACCGGGAGCAAGGAGCCAGCCCACGGGCAGCACACCAGAGCAGCCGGCATCTCTCTGCTCTCCCCGCAGGAAGACGAGCCCCGAGGAGGGACGCAGACCCCAGCTGGCAGCAGTGCCGCGTGTTCCCCGCTGAGCGAACCACCCGCAGAACTCCCGGAGTACAGCCCTGTGCCCCTGGAGCCCCCGGGAGCCAAACCAGCAGCCCCGGTCCCCGCCCAGCCCGCGGAGCCCAGCGCCGAGAGGGGCTCCCCCAGGGAGGTAACAGGGCAGAGCAGGGGGGGTTGGAGGCATTTTTCCAAAGGACAGAAGCCACAGCCCGGCCACAGCTCTCACCAGGTTGAGGGGCACAGCCAGGACGGGGGACGCAGCCCCAGCCACCGCAGACCCTCATCTCCAACCTGTCCCGTCTCTTGCCCAGGCTCGCAGTTCCCCTCCATCGCTCCCAGCCAAGACCAGCTCCCGGGCCGTGGCTCAGGGGCCGCACAGCCCCGCCGGCAGCGCGGCGGCTCCCGAAGGTGCCTACGCCCGGGTGCACAAAGAAGCTGCTCCCCCCGTGCCCCCCGAGGCCAAGTACCAGCAGCTCATGTGCTTCCACGTCTACGCCGAGCCCCGCGAGGGCAGCGCCCCCAGCCCCCCCACCCACTGCGAGCCGGAGGAGCCCATCCCCTTCTACGCCATGGCCCGGAGCTGCAGCCCCCGCGCCGCCCCCGAGGAGAACATCTACTCCGAGGTGGCGCTGGCCCGGCAGGACCCGCCCGCTCCGCTGCCCAGGGAGCCCAAAGGCGCCTTCTCCACGCTGCCCCCCAAATCCCGGCCCCACCGCCGGCTCTTCCGCAGCTTGTCCAGCCAGGATTACAAGAGGCGGCAGCTCCCGGCGGCTCCCACCGCAGACGGGGCGGAGAGAGGAGCCTCCAGCCCGGGCGCAGAGGTGGGTCCCCCAGGGCAGGTCGCTGCTCAGTCCCAATAGGACATCAGAGTCACGTTGGGACTGAGGAGTCTCCAGGCCTCCTGGAATCTGGGGGAGTCAGGGTTTGCTCCACACCAGGAGCACAGGGAGAATCACAGAAGCCTGGGAATGGTTTGGGTTGGAAAGGACCAGAAAGCTCATCTCACTCCACCTCCCTGCCATGGGACCTTCCACTAACCCAGGTTGCTCCAAGCCCCATCTGACCTGGCCTTGGACACTTCCAGGGATGGGGCAGCCACAGCTTCTCTGGGCAGCCTGTGCCAGGGCCTCCCCACCCTCACAGGGAAGAATTTCTTCCCCATATCCCATCTAGCCCTGCCTGCTGTTGGGGTGAAGCCATTCCCCCCTGTCCCTTGTAACTTGAGCAAAGCCGAGGGCTGGGAGGGTGAAGGACCAACTTTGAGCCATCTCCTGGCTCTCCAATCCAACCTCTTCTCCCCGTGGATTCTGCAGGGTGTGCTGAGCCCTGTGCTGGAGCTGGATGACCCCGTGTACGGCCGGAGCACACGCAGGGCCCAGCGGGGCACAGCCATGGACGAGAACGTGTACGAGCAACTGCCTGGGGACCAGCCCTGAGCCACCAGCACACGTGGGCCCAGGACAAGACTTGGCTCCCAGGCAGGAGGAACCTCAGCCTCCATCCCCCTGGAGGAAGACTTTGGCCCTGGGAGGAGACACCCAAGGCTCCTGTTGGCCCCAGCAGCCCTATGATGCTGATCTGCTCCGTGCAGAGCCCCACACTCTTCCCAAGCCCCGAGGAACAGCACACAGGGGGTTGGAGTTAACTTACCTGTGAACACATTCCAAGAGACTTCTGTTCATTTAATGAGGGTGGAAAAGGCTATTGCAGGAAAAACAGGGACAGGTTTGGCACAGTTGGTGCATCCAGTGTTAAACTGGCCGGAAGCTGGAGCGACACCGAACCTCCCCAGCCTGGAGCTCACACTCCAAGTCCTGCCTGCTTCCTCAGCCACAAAACCTGGGACAGCACCAAACCTGAGGACCAACCCCGGCTGGTGGGATGGTACAGAGCCAGGACTGCCCTGTGGGATACCTGGTGGAGCACAAATCCCAGCTGGAATGACACCAAGCCACAGCAATGCTGTCAGCAGCCCTGGTGTGCCCAGCTCGATGGGAGCAGAGAGCCAGGACAGCCAAAGCTCCTTTCCAGAGGGAAAAGGAGGACTGGGGCAGCTGTAGCTGTTTTATCTCTGGGAAGAAAATCACTTTCACTGTTCACAAACCTGAATTTTGTTGCTCTTAAAAGGCTGAAAGCAAAGCATGAGCCCTCAGAACTCCCCTTAGTGCTAAACCTGAGCCGTTACTGCAACAGGAAATGAGAGTTCCAGTCTCCCCCAGCTCCCTCCAGCACCCCCCAATCCCTGATAAAGGGCAGTTTGGGCACACACAGGCTGTGCCCCATGCAGCAAACACCTCGGGTGAGGGGCCGAGCCCCTTGCCATGGAAATGGGGCTGGTTGGCTTCATTCAAAAGTTTATTCCTTTATCAAACCTCTTCTGGGAGGATTTCGGTGTACATAGAAGATATGAATAAATTACTCAACAGTAACTTTATTCTGATCATTCAAATACTCAAAACGGGCTTTGCAAAGTACTAAACATCCAGGGAACTAAACTAGAAATGAGATTAGTTTAAAGTGTTCTAAGAAAAGACTTCAGTCATAGGGGGTTTCCTTGTTTTTAACAGACAACATGGGAGAAAAAACCCCTCTCGGGAGTTTTTCTTACTGGAAAAACAAATATTGGCCGTTTCAGCTGTGGTTACGAGTATAACCCAGAGTGGTGGGAATGTAAGTTAAATAACCAGACCAGCTCTCTGCTCCCCTCAGCATCACACGGTTTGGTGAACAACAAAGTGATGCCACAGAGTTCTGGATCCATGGATTAGGCCAGCAGGGCTGCACAGGATTTGCAGTCGCATCACCTTGATGGAATTCCTTAAATAAAAAAAAATGTTTAATTTTAAGAAGTTAGGGCTGGACACGGTCTCCTCTTCCCAGCCAGGAGGATAAAGTCAGCACTTAATTGGAACAGAACTGTTACAAACAAGCTGGGAAAAAAAAAAGTACAGTTGGCAGCTCTCCTGTGTGTGTGCCCAGAGGAAACACTGCCGAGCTCACTCCCAGCAGGACACTGGGACACTCAGTTTGATGAGTCTGGGAACAGCCTGGGGCACCACTGTAGGGGGAGGAGGAAAGAAGGGGGAAAAGGGAAGGACAATGTACATACACGCATGGCTCAGGGTATCCCAAAGCCCTGAGTGTGCCAGGCAGGAGAGCCTCACCACCGTGTGCCTCCTGCACGTGGGGACACCTCTCACAGACTCTGTCCTGCACTGAGGTGTCCCCTCAGCGTGGCTCAGGCCGTGGACACCAACTTAAAAACCAGGATATCAAAATCATCAGCAGGAGAGGAGAGCTGGAGTGGCTCAGACATGAGGAAGCAGCCACGAGGACATCTCAAAGATAAGGACAAAATAAAAAATCCAAAGCCAGGCTTGCTCTTGGAACTCACCGTCTCTTAGAAAAGAAAAACAACACCCTCAATGCACAGGGAGTCCAGGAGAGCAAAGTGGGAATTGGGAGTTTATTGAGCCTCTGCCGGAGGGTCTGGCGGCGGGAGGAGCAGCCCCTGCTCCCACGGGACAGGAGCTCCAGCCTCGCTCCTGGCACATTCCCTGCGGCACCTCGGGACCGTCCTCGGCTGGTCGGAACCTTCCACGTTATCGTTTACAAGGAGGGAAGGGAAGGATTACAGGTGGAGTTTCATCAGGACTGGCTCGCAATGAACCTTCCTCCTGCCAGGCCAGGCAGCGCAGCGTCCTCCCTCCCGCCGAGCAGCCCCGTCCTGCGCGGGGCCGGGCTCATCTCCCGGGAGCCGTCGGACACCGCAGGTCACGCGGGACGCCAGCCAAAAAGTGGGACAGATGTGTCAGAATCCGTATTTGGCTTGAGTCTGCCGTCTGCTGAGCTTGTTTTCAGACCATGTGTTTTTCAGTTCCAGCTCTCTCTCCTTGGCCTGCAGACATGGAGAGGATGCTGTTATGCTGTGTTTCAGTGACTCAGCAGCATTCCGGCCTCCTCTGGCCCCGCTCACGCGGATTACGGAGCCCTTCAGCCAGAAGCCTCGTTACAGGAGCTCACACAATCATCCTGACAGAGGCCTGGATTAATTGGGCTGCACGGGCATTTCATTCATGCTGAAATGCAGCTTCTCTTGTGGGATGGGCTCAGCAGCCGCTCGACAACCCCGGGGTGGAATATGGACGGGATCCCAGAGCCTCGGGACGCGCGTGGGAAGGGTGAAGCAAAGCTGAAAGCTCAGGGCTGGGACCCCCTCAGGGCCAGGACCCACCTCTGGCCCCACTGGAGCCATGGCACATCTCACCCAGGGCTGAGACAGCCCCTGGTCTGGTCCCACTGTGGGTCACCCAGGGCTCAAGAGTATTTCCAGGGACATCCCCTTGTCCCCAGCTGCTGGAACAGCAGCTCCACCACTCTGGCCTTGTGCTGCCAAGGCTTGAAATTCCACCTGGCTCCCACACCAGGGGAAGCCACTCACCTGATGGATCAGGTATGTGATCTGGTGTTTTCTCCTTTGCTGTCCCGTGGGCTGATCTCCTTTTTTCTGGAAAGCAAAAGGAGGTGAAGTGTTCAGCCTGGAGAGACACTGCTGGACAGCAGACCAAGGCCAAGGCCTGCATGCAGCCATCCCAGGCACCATTTGTTCCCTATTAAATGGCAGATTCCTTCGTCTGAAGCAGTTCCTGGCTGGTCCTCACCACCCACACACCATGCTCTGAGCTCTCCTGATCTCCCACACGTCATCATTTACCAGGGTCCCTTGTCCCCACCCTGGTGACTGCCCAGCATCCAACACAGCTCCAGCTGGGGCTGATCTGGGCTCTGAGGTCCCAACCCCAGCCAACCCCTGCCCTCCACCCCACCTTGCTGAAGGACTTCATGGTCTTCTCCTCCGTCAGGGACTTGGTCAGCCACTGCTGGGCCCCGCTCAGCTGGTCATCACCTTTGATATCCACAAAGTTGATCTCCTCCCTCCCCCGGTTCCGCTTGCCTTGCAGACGCTTGAACTAAAGGAAGAACAGAACAGCTGGAATTACACCCACCCATCACACCCTGACACAAGGCCGAGGGGCTGAGCCCCTGCTCCCTCCAGTGAGGGACAAGGCACAGCAACAGTTTTCCAGACAGGATTTTTATCTTTAGGAGGTTTCTGCTTTGCTGTAGATCAGAGTATCTAAAGCTACTTAGCATGAAGGTTCTCATCTCATTTTCCTATGCTGAAAACAGCCATTTATTCCTGCTTCCAGCCTTGCTCAGAAGACCCCTGGAGTCCTGAGTGTCTTGTTTTAAGAGCCAGGGAGGCACTTGGCCTGTACCAGCCATTCTGTGGCCACATGGCCATGGGCAGTGACTGTCCCCATGCTGGGCACTGATGAGGCCCCACCTTGAGTCCTTGGGTCAGTTTTGGGCCCCTCATGACAAGAAAGATGTTGAAGGCCTGGAGCATGTCCAGAGAAGGGAATGGAGGTGGGGAAGGGTCTGGAGCACAGGAAGGGTCTGGGGAACTTCTGAGGAGCGGCTGAGGGAGTTGAGAGGCCTCATCTTGGAGAAAAGGAGGTTCAGGAGGGACCTTCTGGCTCTCTACAACTCCTTGACAGGAGGGTGGAGCCACATGGGGGTCGGGCTCTGCTCCCAGGGAACAAGGAACAGGACAAGAGGAAACGGCCTCAAGTTGTGCCAGGGGAGGTTCAGGTTGGATACAGGGAAAATTCCTACACCCAAAGGATTGTCCAGCCCTGGCACAGGCTGCCCAGGGCAGTGGTGGAGTCACCATCCCTGGAGGAATCTAAACAGCCGTGTGGATGTGGCACATCGGGACAGGGTTCACTGGTGGCCTTGGCAGTGCCGGGGGAACAGCTGGACTCCATGATCTTGGAGGGCTTTTCCAACTCCAACAATTAATTCTATTCTCATCAAGCCTGCAGACCTGGCTGGAGCAGGAGCTCAGCAGACTGTGGGAAGGACTCACATGTCCACACCACAGCTTGAAACCCCACGGAACAACCACCCGGCCCCTCCCAGGGGAAGCACAGGACGTGCTGTGGGGGCAGGACCGTGGCTGCCAAGCGGGTCCCGTGTTCTGGGAGAGCTCAAAGCCAAATTCCACAGCAGGACAGACAAAGTGCCAACCGCTTCGTCGTCGATGAAGGAGGAGTCGGTGCTCGTCTCCTGCGGCGGTGCCTGGGCTGGTTCCACCTCGGGGTAGTACCCGCTGCTGTAGTAATCCTGGCAGGGAAAGGGAAGTCACTTTGTCACGAGAGTGAAGCAGGAGGGATCCTGCCCGTGGGCTGCTGCTTTTGCACCCCAAGGGATTTCATCAGAGGTCCAAACCAACGAATGCTTTGAGGGGCTTCTCACAACAGCCTGGAGTGACAGGGCATGGGGGAATGGCTTCCCACTGCCAGAGGGCAGGGTTAGATGGGATATTGGGAAGAAATTCTCCCCTGTGAGGGTGGTGAGGCCCTGGCACCAGTTGCCCAGAGAAGCTGTGGCTGCCCCATCCCTGGAAGTGTCCAAGGCCAGGTTGGATGGGGCTTGGAGCAACCTGGGATAGTGGAAGGTGTCCTTGCCCATGGCAGGGGGTGGAACAAGATGGGTTTTAAATTCCCTATGAACCCAAACCAGTCTGTGATTTTATGAATTTCTAGAAACAACGTGGGCTCAAACACCAGCTCTGGTGAGCCCCAACTCTGCACTCACACCAGGGGCATTTTCACAGGAATACAGCTGTCCAACATCTGCCCAGCAAAGAACATCTGCAGCTCTTGTGTGTCATGGGTTTATTAATTCCGCCCCCCGCCAGAGCTGAAACAGGGCCTGATGCTTCTCTTGCAACTCAGTCTGTGGGGGTTTGAAATCCAGCTGGAGTAAACCCACGACATTGTGCCACAGGAACCCTCCTTGTGTCCAGTGCTGTGGCTCCCTGCTCTGTGTTCCAGCCAGCTCACAAAGGATAGAATTTCCTGCTCTGTGTCCTGGTCAGTTCTCAAAGGTTGGATTCCCTACTCCATATTCCAACCAGCTCACATGGGCTGGATTTCCTGTTCCATGTACTGGCCAGGTCACAGAGTTTGCACTCCCTGCTCCATGTACTGACCAGGTCACAGAGGTTTGGATTCCCTGTTCCATGTACTGACCAGGTCACAGAGGTTTGGATTCCCTGTTCCATGT